CTCTCTGTCTGTGTGTGTGTGTGTGTGTGTGGGTGTGTGTGTGTGTGTGTGTGTGTGTGTGTGTGTGTGTGTTATTCAACTGTATTTGCTTGTAGGGTGGATGCATAACTGGACTGAATCCAGATTCAATGTTGTCCAACGTTAAAAACAAATATAATCTAATATGCATCGAATATAAATAAATATTTAGTAACGCTGTCTAGGATAATCCTCTTCTTCCATATTAAAACATAACAGATGTGCATGTCATATATTATCAAGTCTTTGTTTTAAGAAATGTGAATGGCAAAATTATATTCTAAACAAGTCAAATAAATAATTTAACAGCAAATTCAAATAATAGTTCCAAATTCTAAATTCTGATTGGACGAGCTGCATTTGGAATGTTCAATAGATTCTATATCGATGCAGTGAGCTGAAAACAATCTACATTTAGACTGACTTGTTTATTCTGATTGTTGATATTGTGATAATTATTGCGCCTCTCAAGGACTTTAGATACAGTCATTCTGTAGTTAATAATGAATGTTTAAAAAAACATCTGCCAGTGCGTTTAGAAAAATAAACTTAAAGGAATAGTTCACCCGAAAATTTTAATTTGCTGATAATTTACTCACCTTCAGGCCATCCAGATGTAGATGAGTTTGTTTCTACATGGGAACATGTTTGGAGAAATGCAGCATTACATCACTTCCTCACCAGTGGATGCTCTGCAGTGAATGGGTGCCGTCAGAATGAGAGTCCAAACAGCTGATAAAAACATCACAATAATCCACACCACTCCAGTCCATCAATTAATGTCTTGTGAAATTAAAAGTTGTGTGTTTCGAAGAAACAAATCCATCATTAAGATGTTTTAACTTTAAACAGTTGTTTCTGGCTAAAATAATCCATAATCCATATTAACACTTCCTCCAGTGAAAAAGTCCATCTCCTGTTGTCTCTCACATCAAAACCCACCAACATATTTCTTTAGAGATGTTTGGACTGTTTTGGCTTGTAAACGGTGCTTGATCTGTGCAGACTCCTCTCCTGATTCAGACAAGAAAACTTTTTCACTGAAAAAAGCATTATTCTGGATTATGGATTTAGCAATGGTTTAAAGTTAAGCATCTTAATGATGGGTTTGTTTCTTACAAACACGCATCTTATCACTTCTCAAGACATTAACTGATGGACTGGAGTGGTGTGGATTACTTGTGGATTATTGTGATGTTTTTATCAGCTGTTTGGACTCTCATTCTGACGGCACCCATTCACTGCAGAGCATCCATTGGTGAGGAAGTGATGTGCTGAATTTCTCCAAATCTGATGAAGAAACAAACTCATCTACATCTTTGATGACCTGAGAGTTGAGTGCATTTTCAGCGCAAGCATAAAATTGCTTGGCTTTGATCAGAAAATTTAAGTAAATGCATCTTGATGCAAGAATTCTTAAATATTTGTACTGAAAAACAAGACTTTTGCAGCGCTAAAAGAGTATGACCTTAAATATACAGACAAAATACTTAATTTGGCCCTAAACTCTCATTTAGACGCCCTGCGGCCTAAACACGCTCTAGAGATCAGCACTAATGCTGAGAACCTCACACTAACACGCCGCTGCATGCGTGCCGGAGCAGGTTTAGCTTTAATGTATCCCTCAGGTGTCTCGTCTGCCTGTGGGACGCTAGCACATATCAGGGGTCAGAGGTCACGGTGCATTGAGTTACTGTCCTGACACTCGATTGGCTTAACTACAGACTGTAAGTTTGTCGTTTGTGGGTGGCTGAATGCCTCGTCTTCTGAGTGATGATGATAAATGAGCAGCGACAGAGAGAGAGAGTGTTTCTAATGTTGATCTGACTGGATAGACCGCATTCCTGCTCCACCACACACCAAACACTCATGCATTTACACACCTGTTATGCAGGTGTAAGAGCAGATTAATATTTATCAACTGAGATCGCAGACGCTGCAGGATCGTTTCTTCATTAGTGTTGTTGAATCTAATGGTGTTTTGGTGAATTTTAGTGGATGTATGAAGTCTAGTTCACACAAACACATACAATACTTACTGACGCTTCATTTTTAATGTTAGATCTGTTTTTTTAGCATTTCAGACCCAATACTTCTCATTGTTGTACATTTTACATTTATGCATTTGGTAGACGTTTTTATCCAAAGCGACTTAATGTACGGTAGTGCAAGATTTAATGCTTTTGAAAGACGTCTGTTCTGCTCACTAATTTATTTGAGGGAAAATACAGTAAAAACAGCAAAATTGTGAGAATGTTTTACAATTTAAAATAATTGTTTTCGTTCTATGTAATTTATTGCTGTGATCAAAGCTGAGCTTTTCAGTGTCACATGATCCTTCAGAAATCATTCTAATATGCGGATTTGCTGCTTAAGAAACATTTCTGATGCTGAAAATATTTTTATAATATTTATATAAATATTTCGAAATAGTGAGTTTTTCAGGATTCTTTGCTTTCAAAAAAAGAAAGAAATAGAAATATTTTGTAGCATTATAAATGTCTGTACTGTCACTTTTGATCAATTTACTGCATCCTTGCTGAATGATGTTCATTTTGAATGGTAGTGCATATTGTAACGATCTGTTTATGTATTGTATCTGCATTTGTGCCTGCTCTGTGACACATGAACACTGTTTCTGGTGATGTTTGGCTGGTCTGCAGGGCGTCAGTCGTTCCGGTATTTCCAGAGGACGGTGAGAGTGCAGAAGAGCAAGAGTTTGCCGGAGGGACTCAGAGGGCAGGAACAGGTGCGTCCGGTCTGAACCACCTGAATGAGACACACCTGTTTCAGTGGGCGGAGCCACAGCAGGTGACAGACAGCCATAACAGAAGACAGACGGGAGAGCCACACACAGAAGGAGACGCAGCACGCAGGATGTTTAAGAGGAAGGAATACAGTCCTGTCAAGGCCGGGCAGTGAGTTTCCATCAGTTCATGTGTCTTGTTTCTGTTTGCTCTCTTATGATATTTATGCCTTTAGCAAGAGCCTTATGGGTCATTAGATCAGAGACACACACCTGAATGAATGACAAATCTGTCTGAAGGCATTCTAGAGTAGAAATGGACTGGCGTTTATGCATTACAACTGTGAGTTGACTGGATTTGTGTGTGATAATGTGGAGTGTGTGATTTATCTTTATGACAGAGCAGGGCCTTATTTCTCTATCTCTCTCTCTCACACACACACACGGGTCATTGAGTAAGATGGATGTTTTATTAGTGATGATGCACTGGAAAATTGGCGTTTTCACAAAATAATGCAGGATGGGGTGATCCGTGTCTTTGGCCGATAATGAATGTGCCTTATTATCCTGCTCATTAAGCAAATAATTACCAAAAAAATCAACAAATGGAGCCGAAATATTGCAATTATTTTATTTTGTGACGAGAAAAACAAGATTCAATTTGTTAACATTGCATTAGTTAACATGACCTGACAATGAAAAAGTTTTTTTTTTATTAATCTCAGTTAATGGTTATTTCAATGTTACTACTACATCAAAATTTGTATCTGTTAATTTTATTTAATGTAACTGAGCTGACGAGAACTAACAGTGAACAATTGTATTTTTAACATTAACAAAGATTGATAAATGCTTTTACAAATGTATTGCTCAACTAATGGGATCTTATTGTAAAGTTAATTTTTCAGGGATGTTGGCCAGAAAGATTATTCTGGGTAAATTAAAGAAGCACATTTTATTTTATTTATTTTGTTTTGTTTTGTTTTATTTTATTTTATTTTATTTTATTTTATTTTATTTTATTTTATTTTATTTTATTTTATTTTATTTTATTTTATTTTATTTTATTTTATTTTATTTTATTTTGTTTTGTTTTGTTTTGTTTTGTTTTGTTTTGTTTTGTTTTGTTTTTAATTTTTAATTTTTAAACACTGTGATGTTGGCCAGAAAGATTATTCTCAAAGAAGCACTTTTTATTTTATTTTATTGTAATTTTATGTAATAACTAATATTAACAAAGATTAATGCATATAGTTACAAATGAATTTCTCACCTATCAGGATCTTGTTATGAAACAGGTCTGTCAAACTCAGTTCCTGGAGGGCCGGAGCCCTCCAGAGTTTCGATTCAACCCTAATTAAACACACCTGATCCAACTAATCAAGTCCTTCAGGCTTATTTGAAAACTACGTTGTATGTGTGTTAGAGCAGAACTAAACTCTGCTGGGCTCCGAGCCTCCAGGAACTGAGTTTGACAGCCCTGTTATAAAGTGTTACTGAAAACCTCATTGCACATGAATATTTGATGGCGTCAGCCAATCAGAGTGCAGGATTCAGTGTGACATGCAGCTGACAGCTAGTTAGGAGAACTAGTTATGATAAGAGTCACTGGTTGACAGTTTACTGGTGTGTGCTGTGTGGAGTGGGACGTCTAAACTGCAGCATATTCTGAGTAAACGAGTTCATTTATCATATATAAACCACAGAACCACAGTGAACAACAGAGATATGGTAGATGAGCCATCAGACACTGACAGCAGCAGCAGACGGGCCTCTTGTGTAATTATTACTCATGCATGCAGGGTTTATGACGTTATTAATTATGCTTTTTTTTTTATTCATAGAAATTTAACATGCATTCACATAAATTGTACCCGGCTAAATAAAACATGTTCATGTTTAGTCTGATGGCATCTCTTGATATCTTTAGACATACTCAAGGAATTTCAGTAATGTTGAACAGAAAAACAATTATGTGAAAGTCAAAGAAGCACTTTTTTAAAAAATGTTTTATTTAATATGAATTATTTGTAATTATTAGTTAAATTTAATATTTGTTTTTATTTTATTTTTTCATATTGCATTTTTATATATTATATATTTTTTTATTTTATAAATGTTGTTTTGTTTGATATATTTTTTATTTATTTAATTTGATCAGCTATACATTTTATTTTATTTATATTATAGTTATTATATTATTTTAATTTAATTTTGTTAAATTTTATTTGTTATATTTTAAATATTTTATTTTATATTTCAATTTGTTTTGTAATTTATATTTTACATTTTATGTTATTGCTTCATAATATCTGTTTGTGCTGTGCCATATTTCCCCAGAGAACAGGTCAAAGAACAGAAAGCTGTTGTACAGTGTGTTTTCTGTGTTGAGTGAGTCACGTCTATTATTTGACACTGATGTGGATCCAGCTGATCGTGTTTGAGTGTGTCCCGCTGAGGCTGAGGCTGTAACCGCTGTTTGTGAGCCGTTCTTGTGTTCAGGATCAGGCCGTGTAAAGATGTGTGTGTGTGTGTGTATTAGGAGGTGTGTGTTTAAGCTAGAATCTAACTGTGTGCTAATCAGTGTGAGTTATTCATTTCCTCATGCTAATGCGTCAGTGATTGTTCTAATTGACTGATGGTTAATTGTTGCATGAGGAATGAGGAAGATCTTCCTGTGTTTGAGCTCGACCCGTAACAGAGAATGGGCATTAGTTTGAGCATTTGTGGCTTTTAAAAAATCACTTTTTTTATTTTTAAAACCTTTTTTTTATTTTTAAGTTTATTTTTATTGTGTATATTAAATGTATGTGTATATGTATGTATTTGTTTGTTTATTTATGTATATTCTTAAATGGTAAATATGATCATTGCATGAATTTTGAGAAGTACAGTCTTTCAATTAATATGTACAAAATGTATAATAGGTTTTTTAAACTTTTGAAATAATTAAACATTTAAGTATTTATTTTATTTATTCATAAATCATGATTATGCCATTGTATGGATTTTGACAAATGGATTTTTTAAAGTAAAAATATTTCAGCAGTCTCTCAAGTAATATTTTTTTTTTAGAATATATGTGATGTTTAGTATTTTTCACCATTTTTAAACACCTTTTAACTTTTGAATTGATGAAAAATGTATGTATTTATTTTCTTAAATTGTGATTATGACCTTTCATTAAAAGGATAGATATTTCTTTCAGCTAATATTTATAATATATAATACTTTTAAAAATATATTTATTTATTTATTTTCTTAAATGGGGATTATGATCACTGAATTTTTAAAAGTACAAATTCTTCATGCAGTCTCTCAATATATCTGTGCAGTGTAATGAGTGACGGCAAAGGGTTGTTAAATGCTGCTGAAATCCACAGGTGTGAGCAGAAGTTCATGGCATGAATCGGCCCTTTAACTGTAAAGTGCAGCCACACGCTTGATTGTGTGAAGACAAAGAGCCGCCCGCACGTCCAGGGTGTGACTTTATACAGCAGCAGCAGAGATTCCTCAAGAAAAGAGCAGGAATTCCGAGAGTTCTACCTCGACATTCCACAGACACGCCCACACACCTGTCAATCTCTCTCTCTCTCTCTCTCTCTCTCTCTCTCTCTCTCTCTCTCTCTACACGAGTGCACGTCTGTCCACA